ACCGCATCGTGTGCATTATATATTATCCTATCTATATACGTATACATACACGCGGTCACTCATTCTTATTATTCTCTTTTGTCCTTTGCACGCAATGCAGCAGCAGCAGCAACATCACATATATATATTCTCCGAGTCTTGGGGCCCTTACATACATATACGCACGTCGTTAACTCGTCTCGAGCTCGTATACAGCAAGGCATCTCGTTGCTCGGACTCCGTATGTGTGTACGTACAGGCGTGCGCGCCCCCTTCGCGTCAAAGAATTTCTCAACGTCCGAGCTGTAGTCGGGGGGGCATCCGACATACGCGATCCTCGCCCCCTCGTGTAATTTACATTTCGCAGCCGAAACTCGCCCATCGCGATCACCGTCCTCGTCGTCATCATCATCTGCGAGCTTTCTTCTCCTTGTGTACATATTATATATAGGCAGCCTATATACATTAAGCTTGCGTGTGTGTGTGTATACGAACCATTCTCTGGACAACAAACGTATCTGTTATAATTACACGCGTTTCGCGCGCTTAATTACTCGACTTTTGACGCGGTACGCGGCTCTCTTCCCTAAGCGCGCTTTCTCCAAAATTCGATTTCACCGTGACCATATGGATGCATGTGTGGCGTCACACACAGATAATTATTACATTATATACGCGCGCGACGATAGCCTCGTCGCTTCGCGTGGACTCCGCGTTATGATATACCTCTTCATCTCGTGTTCAAAGCTAAGCATCGGCACGTGCTCCTTGATATCGATCTCATTTACAATGTCTCTCTCTTTCTGGCTGAACGCGTACACATACGATATACCGAATGGACGTTTTGAATAATTTAATAAACTTTCGCATATAAATAATAATGTATCCGCGCCACGTCTCTCGGGACGGTCGCAAATTTCTCACGTCTTATATTATATCGACGAAGATAAAAAAGCGAATCGTAAAAAAAAACCGCGTCAACTATATATACGAGTAATAAAAGAAAAGAGCGAAGAAGAAGAAGAAAAAAAATTTGGTATAAAGTCTACGTATAACCCCGCCGATAGCGGCCGAGACAAATGCCGTAAGCACTCGCGCGCGCCGTGTGTTCCCACCCTCTCGCATATATATATACAGCACGGGTGATATAGAAAAACGTCCCTGCGGATAATCGTAGAAATTGCAAAGCGTCGAGGCCTTATCCATGTAGGAGGTACGTACATATACGTATAATACAAAGCGATAGTAATCAAACCTTCTACCCTTGATAAAGTGAAAAAAGGAGAGGCACGAGGAGAGCGAGGGCACCGCGTCGTGCGTTCATTACCCTAGAGAGAGAGAAAGAGTAGCAGTAGTAGTGGTAGTAGTAGTGGTGGTACGAGGCAGTAGTGACTGTGCGGGGGTGCAAACAGCAGCTACAACACAACCGTACGTGACTGCGAGAATGCAAAAGTCAAAGTCCTGCGCACACTGCACGAAGGGTACTATATACCCCACAAGTAGTTGTATATTATACCCGTATGCGTGTACGCGTGTACGCGTAGTGCTTCGTTGCACAGCGGAGCGCAGATATAAATACAACGTGTCATATATAGTATCCCCGGTGCCAATGAAATGCCATTAAAGGCCAAGGATCAACGGGAGCTTCTGCGAGCCCGCGATTACTTTTTCTCCGTCTCTCTCTTTCTGCTCTCCGCTTCGTGCGATATACCTCCGACGCGAAACACATAAAGATCGTCTCTGTATGCGTTATGTGCTCGCTCTATCCCCCGGTCTCTCTCTCTCTCTCTGTCTCTCCGCTCTGGAAAATCATTGGTTTGCCGAAGCTTAAGACTTGATTGGAATATTTATAAAGGGATTCTGCCTGTGTAACACGCTGCAGCGTGCGAGAGAGAGCGAGAGAAAGAGAGCAAATCTCGCGGGTCTTTGCACTCTAAACGCGCTGCTGCTGCTGCTGCTCGTTCATTTTTCACGATCAATACGCAAGCTCCAGTGATTTTTCTTCGTTTTCGATGTGAAATGTATGTGTATGCACAGGGCGTCAAACGTGTGAGATGCGCATTTTAGCGTTACAAATCGAAGTATTTACGAGAAAAATTTACAACACAGTGAAATATGTGTCGGGTGCCGGGGCGTGTCTTCGCAACTCATCGTTTTATATTATTTTATTATTACGAGCGCTCATTACTCGAGTCGCCGCCGAGTAGCGCAGCACAATCAAAAGTCGAGCTTACTCGAAACGAGCGTATCCTCGTTGTTATGAAAATATATACTATATATGGGAGTGCAGCGCATATTACGATACGCGTTCTTTTGTTTCAATGATCATCAATCCAACTTATATTATATGCATGTGCCCGCGCCCGCTGAATCGTTCGTATTCGGTGCGCAGCGTATTGCACTCTCTCCGTTGTCATATATATATGCATAAACAAACGACCGAGAGAGGAAAAAGAGTAGCAAGTGGTGGTGGTGGGGTACTACTGTAAACTGCAGCCATAAAGTCCGGATGCATATTTTACGACGGTAATGAAGTGCAGAGACAGCGAAATTGTAATGGACGTCGGCGCGTGGGTCGCTCGCAATTCGCTCGCATACGTCGCGTCGTATATCGCGACAAACTTCGCGAGACAGAGAGCGAAGAGTCCGTATGGATTCCCCGTGTGTCTCGATCGCAATCGAAGAAAATAATAGAATCTCTATTCTCCCGTGTGTACACGTACTTCTAATAATGCGACAGCTGAGCATTCTAATTACGACGAGAGTGTGTGTGTACTCGGCGTCGATCCATCATATGCTCTCTTATTTTTCTCCTCAAAGTATGGTTTTAAAAGGTCCAGCCTCGTCGGTTTACATAACATACAACGATCATCGGCGTTTCAATAAATCATCGTACGCGCGATCGCCCATTTATATATGTTCGTAATACGTATCGCAGCTCTCGAGCTTTCAAAAAGCGCTTACACGCGTACGTTCATATCACGCAGACGATAATTTTCGAAATTATATTTTAGCCATCGCGCTAAACAACGCTAATGGCATTAAATCATATACACATTATATTCGTTATTATAATATGCTTTCCGAATCGATAGGCGCACGCGGCGCGATGCAGTACATATTGCATGCATTACGTAGGGTGCAACTGAATTGAAAAAAACCGCTGCCAATGTATTGGCAAGTAGCTTCCTCATACTTTTTTTTAACTTAAAAATAATTTGAAAATATTAATATCATCTTTCTAATTACGAAAGCGAAACGAAAGCGCCTCTCAGCTTTATCGGATATCTCAAACAAACAATGCAAAAAAAAAAAAATTTTTTTCTTAAATAGAAAAAAAAACGTTACGTTTATCGATAAATGAATTTTTCTGGCTTCGTCCCTATGTCATAACGAAAAAAAATAAGCCCTCCCCCGTCACGATACGTGCTACCGTTATCAAGGAATCGCTCTACACAGCCATACAGCCGCATACACCCACATACATTCCAAAATGTGTCAAAAATTCGATCTAGTATATAGAAATATCATTAAATATATCCTACGATAATTATATACGAAAGCCTAAATGTATCCCATCACAAAACTTCCTATATGAGGGAGCAAAAGGAAGAAAACGACAATTTTTCGCAAAAAAAATTTTTCCCGTAAAAAAAAATTTTTAAAAATCGAAAAAAAAATTTTTTTTCTTCGTTTATCGCTAAATACAATTTTCTGGCTTCATCCTTACATCATAACGAACAAAAAAAGCCCTCCCCCGTCACGATACGTGCTACCGTTATCGAGGAATCACTCTACACAGACATAAAAAAATTTCCAAAAATTTTTAAAAATCGAAAAAAAATTTTTTTTTCTTCCTTTATCGCTAAATACAATTTTCTGGCTTCATCCTTACATAATAACGAACAAAATAAGCCAAACCCCGTCACGATACGTGCTACCGTTATCGAGGAATCACTCTACACAGACATACAGCCGCACACACACACACACACACACACACACACACACACACACACACACACACATACATACCAACATGTGTCAGAAATTCGATCTAGTATATAGAAATATCATTAAATATACCCTATGATTACTCTATAAAAAAGCCGAAATGGAGCCCATCACAAAGCTTCCTCTATGAGGAAGCAAAAAGGGCTTGAGTGCAGCTTATCGATTATCCTGTCGTCGTTATCAGCGCGCGCGCGTGTTTGCGAGCTCCGAGCTTTCGCGTTAATGAATCGCGCATATAATAATAATAATAATAATCGCATTAACGAGGCGCGCGTGAAAGCTTTTTTCGATGAATCATGCTCGTGTGGCCGGAATCATCGTCGTTCGCGGTCAAGTATATTACAATAATACGGTTTTTAAAAGCCGAAAAACATTATCGAGCGTGACAAGTTACTCGGGCGTATATACATACAGAAGCACGTATAGGGCGCACACGCGATCCGCGTCCGAATTTGGGGAAGAAAAGTACAAGAGGTATATACACATTCAAGTGGTCGGGATTAATTATGTCGCTCTCGGAACGTAAAATAATACCCGTGTTTGTGGACGCGCGTATATATTGGACGAGAAAGAGAGAGAGGCATGAACTCCTCCTCCTCTATATTGGAACTGCATACACATACAAACATACGGTACTGCGAGCTACCCTATATATACACGTTAGTCGCGCGCGGCACTGGAAAATCACTACCAAAGCACACTATTAATACACTCGCGCACACAACACAGACAGACGAGCACACCCCATCGCTATAGAGAGCGAGAGAGAAAAAAAAGAGAGAGAGATCTCTGTGTGTATACGCTTGACATCAAAGCACACACAATATCCTCCTGTGTATGTCAATCCCTTATATATTTCAGGGGCAAGCTGTTCGCCCAGGAAATCGACTATACACAGAGCCTGTAATCGCGTTCACGTTTCTCTATATATCGATATACCATATACCCAATATACACATAGATGTAACATGGAACTTTGAACTGACGCTCTTGCGTACGCTTTGCAGGAGGACGAGAGTCGGCTTGCTGGGCGGCGAGTCTGCAATTTAGCCGGGAGCCGCAGGACCTGCTGCTGCTCGAGCCCGGCAGGTCGGGCCTGCTCGAGTGCGAGGCTCGCGACGGCTCCATGATCGATCAGCCGGTCATTAGCTGGCGCACCGACGACGGACAGCCCATCAACTTCATCGGCGACAAGTACAGGTGAGATTATCGTTGTAATGGTTTAGTACATTTATAACGCGCGATGTATAATATGGCTGAGATTAAAGAGAAAATTGATAAAACGCGGCTATATGATTTTCGTCGGTGCTAATCCATATACATAGGAACAAAAGAAAACGAGAAGATTCCCGACGTATATCGAGCGCTGATGAAAATTCACTCGTGCACAAATATATACGAGAGAGCTTGCGAGATCATACGCCGCATGGGAAAAAGCGACTTACGCGCGCGATTTTGTTATATACTTTCCGATTCGACTGACGCGCCGCGCCGATATCCCTCTTGGGGCTGCAAATACGCTCCACGTGCACTATGCAAACGCCATCGCGTATGTGTATACCTGTCTATAATGCATCTCTTTTGTATATATCCGCTTATTTTCGCTTCGCCAGCTACTTCGCGAGTCGCTGCATAATGTATATCATAGAAGTCTATCCACCCGGCGCGTTAATCTTTCGATGTAATCTTCGACGATGCCAGCTCGTGAACACGCGTGCGGCTGACAACTTTTTCGACGCGGACTTGTCAAAAAAAAGAAAAAAAAAAGAAGAAGAATAAATAATAGAGACGAATTCGTGTCGGATATTTCGTTGTTATTTGCGAACGAATGCGAACACCTTCGCCGCGACGTTGACGCGTGTCACGTGTTATATCGTAACGACGCGCTGTCCGCCCTTTTGGCCCGGTTCGCATTATTGTATCGCACGCGTGATTCGACACATTTTTTTCGAATAATGAACACATTAACGCGTATTCACGACGTTGCTATACATGTATACTCGACGTAAAGGTGCGCTGCTTTCGGGGCCTTAATTTTTTTATCTGCTGCTTTTTATCTAATCGCGGCGCGTAAATCGAAAACCACTTGACCCCCCGAAGTATACATTCTCGTTGAGAGCGAGCGAGTTCGCCTTATCGCGCTCTCCGAATCTTCCGTATTATCGAGTGCGGTGAAAGGTGTCAAAAAAAAAGAAGGAGGAGGAGAAGGGAAGAAAGAGTGTACATGTTGGTAAACAAACGGCCGGGGCCGCATTTTAATATCGAAATTTCGATCGAAAAGAATTGTGTACCGTGTATACAAACGTAGGCGTCAAACTACACGACGGTTCAATGGCATTATCTAGAACGTTATTGTTAAAGCGTCGAGCTATTTTTTTTCTTCTTCTCTCTTCCTCTTTTTTTTTTGTATACTCACTTGTATTAGCGCGCGTCGCGAAAATCGATTCACTGGAAGCGATCGAGCCACGAGCGATAACAACACGACCAGATTCTCAGCTCTATTAATCGTCTTAACGACGAATTAAATCACGAAGTCGGCTATCGAAGCTCCGCGTCTCGAGCCATAAGACAATACACACAATTGTTTCGAGCTCGAGCTTTAATCCGTCTCTCTCTCTCGACAACGACTACGAGACGACGAGGACGCGAGGACGATGATCGCATTAAACATTTTGCTCTTCTTTGTTTCAAACGACACAGGACCCAACTGCCCAATGGCTCGCTGTACATCAGGTCGGCCAACGAGGAATCGATCGGCAGTTATCAGTGTCTCGCCACGGTCGAAAATGTCGGTGCCATCGCATCGAGGACCGCCGTCGTTAAGCTCGCAAGTAAGTACATATAAAACGAGCCAAGGGATAAAAGTTACAAGAGACGCGATCATAAATCCTGCGAACCTTTGAACCACTTGTATATTATACGTATCCTCTTTCTTACGTACGAGTGCGCGAGTGCCATGCACACAAGTTTTAATTGGCCGGAGCTGTTGCCGCGTGCTTATTATATATGATAAAACAACGCGAGCCAATCTCTCTGTACGCGCGACGCGCAATATAATTCAAAAGTTTTTCTCGCGTGGAAGCTGCTGCATATTGTATTATGCAATGAAAACTCGGAGTGTTATCACATCTCTCGAGTAATTTGAAAAGTTTCGCCACCGATGGCGCCGGTATAACCCCGAATTTATCCACCACACGCGCATATATACATAGTCTTCTTATCAAGGATTTTTCCTTTTATACGCATCGCGTACCATATACCCCGTGCAATTTCGCATGCTCGCAACGTTAACCGAAATGTGGGTTATCTGTTCTCTCCCCGATCGCACAGGTCTCGCGGTGTTCGATCGAGAGCCCCAGGACACGATGGTCTATACCGGCCAGATAGCCTATTTGAGCTGCAAATTGGCCAGCGGTGCCGGTGGCGAGGAGGAGCAGCAGCAGCGCCGTCAGCAGCAGCGGGTCGATATCCAGTGGCTCAAGGACGAACAGCCGCTCGTACTCGACGAGAGCCGAATGACTATACTGCCCTCGGGTAAGTACCATCGACCGTCCTGTTACCGTAATATAGAGTGTATAATATATAGAGATCGATTAGATAGATAAGCGCCAACGCCGCTCTCCTTTTGCATTATATTATAAAGCGCGAGAGGGCGTAATTTTGCGCGATTAGCAATTCTGATTCAGTGAAATATATTTCAAAATGGTCTGTGTGCGTGTGTGTGTGCATGTACAGGCGCTTTGGAAATCGACGACGTGATGCCGGAGGACGTGGGCTCGTATAGGTGCAACGCCTCGGGCTTCGGCCAGTTTCGCCTGAGCAACAAGGCCCAGCTCACCCTGCAGAGCAGCGACGTCGAGGAGGGCGACAGCGCGCCGGTCTTCGTCGCCAAGCCCTTCAGTCAGGTCGCCGTGGAGAGGTCCCAGGTGACGCTCGAGTGCGCCGCCAACGGCAGCCCCAAGCCCGAGGTGTTCTGGCTCAAGGACGGCAAGACCATCGACCTGTCCTCGTTCGACTCGAGGTACGATAGATAAAACACACCATCACCATCGCATCGATCGAAATCAATTTTTTTTGTTCCTCCGTTGCTATAAAAATTTATCGTTACGCGCACAGGTACCAGACGGTCGCAGCGTCGAGTCTGCTGATCAAGGATTTGAACGAGGACGACACGGGCTCGTATCAGTGCCGAGCCGCAAACAGCATCGACACCCTCGACGCCGTAGCCGAGCTCAGCGTTCAAGGTATCGTATATATAATCATAATGTAAAGAGCCGATGTACCATATATCGGAGCTGCTCCGCGGAATGTAATTAACGTCTTGCACCCCACCCCTTCCCCCTTTTACCTCGATGCATTTGCATAATTGTATCTCTCTGTGTCTGCAGTCGCCCCGAGATTCATAAAGCGACCGCAGGACAAGGAGGCGAGCGAGAGTCAGGATCTCGAGTTCGAGTGCGAGATCTACGGGAAACCGCAGCCGAGCATCACTTGGCTCAAGAACGGCGAGCGCATAAAGCTCAGCAATTACTGGCAGCTCATCAATGGGTGAGTACTACCACTGCTGCTACTACTACTACTACTACTACTAGCTATAACCCCGACATCGAGCGAGCTCCGTGGAGTGGAGTGTAGCGCACGATGAGAAAGAGAGCCATGGGGCTGCAAATGAGCAGCATTATAATACCAGAGGCTACTTACTCTCTCTCTCTCTCTCTCTCTCTCTTTCTCCATATATATGTAGCTACGAGCCTTTCGTGCGGATCGGAGAAATTCTGTAATATAATGAGCGCAACGACGCGATTTTCAGACGAGTTAATGCGCTGGAAAATACCTGCCTCGAGAGAGAGAGAGAGAGAGAGAGAGAGAGAGCAGAGCAGAACAGAGCTTTTATTGATATTCCGATTCTCGCGTAATAATGGGGCTGATTTTACGCTTACGTAGCTACATGTTACAATGTATTTAACTACTATAACGGCGCGTGTACACGATTGTAGAGCTGTATGAAACAAAAAATAAAATAAAATATGTTTTCTGATCCGACTCTCGACGCTCTGTACATTTTACCACCCTCTGCTCTGTCTACACACAGATACAATCTCCGGATAAACGGCCTGCTTAGCATCGACGCCGGCATCTTCCAGTGCATGGGCAGCAACGCGGCCGGCAGCGTTCAAGCCTCGGCCAAGCTCACCATACTCAAGCCAAGTGAGTATCGCATTCGAGCGTTATATATTTTCAATGCTAGTATCATATTATTATTATACACGGATCATCGAAAGACAGTCGAAAATCGTCGAGAGTTTCTCGATTCAAATATTATGCGCGTGCAAATACACTCGAGTACAGATCGATTGCACGTTAATACGTACACGAGCTTATTTATGCCCGTGCAAGTTCTTGAATTTTTTGTACGTATAATTAAGTCGTCGTCGACGAGAACGACGACGACGACGACTGCGCGGCTCGCGAGCTGCACGTGGAAGCGATGAAAGTATCGATATATATATATTTGCATAGCTTTCGCGCGTAGGCGACAAAGTGCGATTTTTCTTCTTGAAACGCGCCGGAGTCCAGGGCGTAAAAGGCCGCGCGTATTACATTATCTTCTTGCCAAAGACACATCGCGTCTCTCGCGCGCGACTTTCCCGCAAGAGAAAGAAAGAGCGAGACCGTAGTAGTTGTCTCCCGTTGCTTATATACACACATTATACAGTACGCGTGTAATTGAAAGCGATGCTATATTTAAAGACCATACGCGTGTATACGTGTACGTAGGCTTCGCGTGTCTCTGTATCCTATATACGATTTGCGCGACGCCAGCGGCAGCAGCAGCAGCCCGCGGGCAGTGATTTATGATTTAATTTAGATTAGCCCGCGCGCGCTCGTTGTTGTTTTTTTCCGTCGCGACGAGTTTCATATATACATACATGCAACGCAGACGCAGAATAGGATATAGATTATCGCGCGTGTATAAATACGCGAGCATGGAGCGCAACGGACTCGTTTCGCGATGCGAATTTTTTCATTTTTTTATCACTGCTGTACACACGGTTGATATGGCGCGGTGCCTGCGCAGTTTTCTGCTGCCGCTGCTGATTTTTTTCTGACAACAGAAGCGGTCGATTGCGTTGTTTACGTGTAACTCCGTTCGATGTTGTTTTTTTTCAAATTTTATTTATTGATTTTTTTTTTCATTCTTTGTACGATTAATCTCTTTTTATCATACGCATGTAGAACAAACAGATTTTTTTCATCATCATCATTATGATCATCATCGTTGCATTGTCAAGTTGTTTATTTTGAGAATGCAAATTATTATCATTCGTACATTTATAATTTAGATCATAACGATTTATATTTATTTCAGTAGTTTAATTTATGATTTTTCATTTATTTCTTTTTCTTTTTCACCTTGTGTCCACCGTCTCTCCTCTTACCCCGTCCCTCTCGACACTCACGCATGCCTGCATGAAACTCTGCGAAAAATCGACGACGCATACACGCATACGTAGAAAAAAAAGACCGAGGCAGAGTCACGAGCTCGAGCAACAACAACAACAACCGCAAATCGGCCGCGGGTACGAAAAAGAAGCTGTCGCACAAGCAGCTATCCAATAGCACCTGGCAGCATCCGAGCACGCTGCTCGGCCACACGTCCTCGGCTTACACGCCCTATCCGTCCTTGACTTCGGGCGGTGCAAACGGTGGTCGTCACTCCTCGTCGTCGTCGGACGACGCGGCCGATCTATTCGGTACTCCGTTCGGCGGCTCGCGCTTCCCGTCGTCGGGCCCGTCGTCGATCTTTCACGACGACGACGACAACGACGACGGCGGCGGCGGCGTCGACGACGAGGACGAGGAGGACGAAGACGTCGGCGGCGACGAGAACGACGATAACGACCCGGACAACGGCGGCAGTGACAACTCGGACGAGCAATCCTCCCACGATCCCGCTGTTTCAGACGTCGACGGCTTCGGGGAGTTCGGCGAGGCCAACAGCAAGCCCTCGGTGCCGCGCGACCTCAGCGCCGGGGTCATCGGCAGCCGCTTCATCGCCCTCAAGTGGCAGGAGCCCGAGTCCACGGGCAATCTCGGCGACATTCACAATTACCTCATCTATTACAAGCAGGAGAGATTCGCCAGGTGAGCGATCGTTCGTTCAATTTTTCATTGGGGAATGGTCGTAAAAAAAAACAAATTAATAGTTCGAAAATAGGACGACGCTGTTAACCTCGCTGTATATAGAAAGCTACGACCTCGTAGGAATCTAGTATTCTCTTTCTCTTCTTCTCCCCCTATCGAGCGTTTACGGCGCGAGATATTAGCAACTCATGTACGGTCATTATCTGCTCCGTTAAAATTATATACAGAAGAGAAAGAGAGGCCACTCATTATCGATGAAATACATCCATCATTATTGTACTTTGTGTTATGTTTCGCGTTCAAAATGAACAAAGAGCGAACAAGAAGCTAATAAATAAAACGATTCGCGCAGGGAGAGACAGGAGCGCACTCAGAGCAAAGAGACGACGGTGACCATCAGCGGTCTGCAGCCCGGCACGACTTACTACTTCTACGTCGTGGCGAATGTCTCCGACAGCATCAGAAGTCCACCGAGCAAGACCCTACAACTGACCACGGAATCCGAGGTGAGCGGCCGATCGATTTCTCCCGTTTGTACTCTTTCTTCCTGCACTATTTGTAATTTGTCCCTGTCTGTCGCACACAGCCGAACGTACCGAGCCAACCGCTAAACCTCAAGGGCTGGCCGACGAGCAGCGAGAGGATATCGCTGAGCTGGGACGAGCCGACCCTGATCAACGGACGCATCTCGAGCTACCTCGTCACCTACGCGGAGGGCGACAACGAGGAGGTGAAAATCAACTCGACCAAGACGTCGATCGAGCTGGACAACCTGCTGCCCTACAAGGAGTACAACATCTGGGTTCAGGCGGTCAACGACAACGGCCCGGGCGCCTCCACGGAGGAGATCAAGGTGCGGACTTTCGGCGCTGCGCCCAGCGCACCGCCCAACGTCACCGCCGAGGCGGCCAGCTCATCGGTACGGACAAAATCAATACTTTTATGCATATATAATGTTATACTCGAAAAACTTGATTTATCTCCGAACTTCGACTGACGGAAACGATCTCTCTCTCTCTCTCTCTCGTCCGTATACAGAGCGTGATCGTACGCTGGGAGCCGCCTTCCGAGGGCCAGAACGGCATAATAACCGGCTACAAGATACGCTATCGGCAGTTCGATCGACGCAATCATCCCGTGGTGATAACGACCGAGGGCAACGCTCGCATGCACACCATCGCCAAGCTCGAGAAGAACGTGCCGTACGAGGTGCGCGTCTGCGCGTTCAACGTCAACGGCACCGGGCCCTGGTCCGACTGGCTCAGCATCGAGACCTACGAGGACGATCTGTCCGAGAGCGAGGTGCCCAGCGCGCCGACCAATTTGCGAAGTAAGTACTTTTCTTTGACCGCGTCGCCGCAACGAGGAGCAGCAAAGAGAAAAAAAAAATTAATGCAATCCGATGCTTTTTTTCCTCCTGCCTCTGTACACATATAGCTAAAGCAATGTCGGATTCGATAATCGTGTCTTGGGGACCGCCCAAAGATCAAAGGATCAAAGTTCGTGGCTACGTGCTTACCTGGGGTAAAGGCGTTCCCGACGAGTACAAGAAAGTTTTGGATGGCAAGCAGCGCTACCTTTCCATTGATAATTTAGGTACGTTCAAAAGAGATTGAAAAAAAAACCCACGCCGAATGATTCACTCGAAAGCCAAAGCTAATGTCTTCTTTTTACTTTGCTCGGCCTCTCTTCCCTAAAGACTCGAACTCGGACTACGTGATATCGCTGAGGGCGAAGAACGAGGCCGGCGAAGGTCTGCAGGTGTACGCGAACGTCAGGACGATCGAGCGCTCGGCCTCGGACAACGCGGCGCCGCTCCAGCCCCCGGTCGGCCTCAAGGCCGACGTCATGTCGCACAGCACGGTCGTGCTCTACTGGACCGACTCGTCCCTGTCGAAAAATCAATTCGTCACCGACAAGCGCTACTACGTCGTGCGCTACACGTCCTACCATCGCAGCAACAATCCCAAGTACAAGTACGAGAACGCCACGGATCTCAACTGCATGATTCACGATCTCAAGCCCAACACCGAGTACGAGTTCTCCGTTAAAGTCGTCAAGGTGAGTGTGTGTGTTTGTGTGACGATCCAGTTGCGATCGATGGGGTTTTTTAATCGTATACGCTTGAATTATGCAGGGCCGACGAGAGTCGCAATGGAGCATGGTCGCGTTGAACAAGACGCTGGAGGCCAAGCCGGCCTCGTCGCCGCGCGACCTCACCGTCCAGGGCATCGACGATCATCCCAAGTCGGTCCTGCTGCGCTGGCAACCGCCCAAGCAGTCGAACGGCGACATAAACGGATACACCATATCGTACACGACCGATAATACGAAGAACGAGCGCGACTGGAAGTGGGAAGCGGTGGTCGGCGACATCAACGAGTACGTGCTCAAAGCCGAGCTGCAGCCGAGCACGACGTATTATTTCCGAATACAGGCGCGAAACACCAAGGGCTACGGCCCATTCTCGACCACGATATCCTACACGACTCAGCAAACAATGGGTAAAGACATTTTTTGTTCCGCAACTTCGAAGTAATTACGCCGCTTTCTTGTGCTTTAATCGAGACCCTCTCGTTTTGCTTTATCAGATGGACGAGGCATGTCGAACTTTTTGATATACATCATCATTGGATGTACGGTGCTCGTGCTGGCGGTGACGATATTCGTGGTCGCGTTGGTCTGCTGCCGACGGGGCATGGATGTGCCGGACGGCAAGAAAGGCTACTTGAAAGACACCAATATTAAGACCAACATCAAGCCGCCAGATCTGTGGATCCATCACGATCAAATGGAGTTGAAGGCTTTGGAAAAGACCATGGCTAATGGAGAGACAAACACCACGGCGACTACGAGCAATACACTGCCGCGTTCGAGTCAGTCCGAGTACAATCCGGACAGCGTGCACGGAAACTCTAGCTCGCTCGACAAGCGCACTTACATACCGAGTTATATGGGTACGTATGTGCGAATGGTTTGGGACCAAACAATTTAAATGCCATAACTGAAAGGAGATGAAATGAAAAATTGGCATTTAAATTCGTGAAATTTTACAAATTGATGATAGAAAAATTTGAAAACCTTAAATACGAAAAAGTTCAGTTTTGGTTTTATCTAAATTAAATAGCTTCAAAAAGTCATTGAAACAGCGCACTCATACAACATTCATCAATTTTCTTAATTTAAGCCGTTTTATCCAATCCCAATTATTATTAGTTATTTAGGTTTTTTTATTTTAAAACATTTGTTTTTATTTATCGTTTACCTCACACCAGGCACTAACGACGATAAATGCTCGACACTGAGCAGGCAACACAATCGAGGGAGCCACAAACCTAAACTCATTACACTACCGGTTGACAGTGCACCATTACACCAGCGTAAGTAGCCAACCTGTTGGAATCATTAAATTTAATTTTAAGGTTTTTTTCAACGCAAACCTCCTTATTTTTTAACATTACTTCATTGAATCGTACACGTTCGTCATCACCTGATCAATAACACGATACTCTCTGCGAATACAACTTAATTTTGATTGATCCTTTCATCTGCAGCGATTGCCACTGCTACACCGATCGTCAATAGTAGCATGTCTCAACAAACGATTCACAGCTCGTGCTCCGATATGCCGTCGCTGCGACCATCTTACGCCCGAACCGTGGCTCAATACAGTCTAAGTCGAGCTCATATAACGCTCGAACCAACTCCAGAATCTAGTCCAGATTCGTGCAATTTAACCAGCGCTTACGAATCGCTTCAACCTCAGGTTAATACTTGATTTTTATATGAAAATAATATGTTTCATAGTTATAGTTATCACATTGGATATTATTACATTTATAGTTATACACCTCCGGTGGACCGCAGTCGTACAACGCGACGCAGTTCTCTTCTAGCACCTACGGCGATAGCGGCCAGTCCGTTACAGGAACCGAAAGTAATGGCGGAGTCAAGAGGTTACAGGGCCATCCTCTGAAAAGTTTTAGTGTGCCTGCTCCGCCGCCACAGTCAGCTCCATCGACACCGGCTCAACAGAAACATGGAGGTAGTTTACAATTTTTTTTTCATTCGGTATTTTAAAAGAAAAATTTGAATATCCTCTTATATTCAATTTTTTTCATTACAGTACGATCGGCTTTATCGGGTAGCCCATACAAAAAGGCAACGAGTTCGAGTCAATTAATCAAAAATAGGCTAGCGTCAGTGACAGGAACGACCCACACTCCAGAAGAAATCGAAAGATTAAAGGTGAATATTTTGTACGATCTAATGCTCTTTTTCAAATGGCAGATAACGTTATATACGATTGAAATTTTTTGTAGCCTTCGTACAGTACCGAGGAACTCAATCAAGAAATGGCCAATCTTGAAGGACTTATGAAGGATTTGAATGCTATCACAGCTTCTGAATTTGAATGCTAAAAGTGAATTTTTCTATAACGCGTGCCATCTATTAAGAACAAATCGACTGCTGACCATGTGTTACTCATTTTCGTAATTTTAATGAATATGCGTTCATTTTTAAAAATGAACAATTTAGTAAAATATTGAGCTTCTGCCTTGCAAGTTTAATAAGTACACAGAAAGCTTACATTTTTAGAAAATCCGTGATATATCTGCACGATGATATTCATTTTTACGAAAATGGATAAGAAAGTAGATAAAGTCTAGCTTTTATATAAGCTTGCAAAGAATTTCAAATATAAATTCTTTGTTCAAGCGAGTGAAATGTTTTTACCGGATTGCAACTGAGCTTATAAGCTTGTTGAATTGTGACGGTTTTCTAAACTCGATAAAACATTAGGTTTGAAAGATTCTCTTAAAAAGAGTGGTCATATAAAATATGATTAAGGACTGCCACAAACCCATCGATAACTAGTGAATTCAGAAACTTGGACGAGCGAGCAAGGAACTGATAAAATGAAACCGCATAAATGTAGAAGCTTATTGACCATGTGAATTTCTTTTTTATAATGATATTTATTTTTTATAAAAGAAAAAGTTTGCATATGCAAAGCGGTAGAATAATAACAATACTACAAAATAATTGGAAAACAGCATATTGAAAATGCTTAAGACTCAGCGTTATTTCTTAGGGTACTTTTTATCAGATATTAAAATCGTAATTTCTATTTAAAGTAAGCGAGTCGTCTAGAATAATGATCTCATTGGATGAAAAAAGTATCATTTCAAAAAAAAATAATAAAGAAAATTGTTGTTATCGTTAATCATCGAAGGTGTATTGGAGTATGTATGTATAAAAGCTGCTTGTGCTTCTCAAGAGCGTTTGTAGATTTGAGTTCAAGTTTGGTTTAGTTGTAAAAAATTATGTAACATATGCGAGTAGTAAGCCAAACTTGCTAAGTGTTGAGTATTATTAATGAATAATTGCGTACAGTTTTATTATACTTGTAATTTTAAGATGTAGTTTTTAAATATGTGAAAAAGATCTATATTAGTTAATATAAAAATGTATCTACGTTAATGTATGTTTTTTTACATTCTTTGACACTAAGGCTAAAAATTAAGATATTCATAACAGAGTAACAACAGATCGCATACCAAAATTCAGTCTTTTTAAACAATTTTATAATGATGAATCATGTCTAATAATCTTAAAAATTATGATGTAGAGAACCGATTGCAGTTGGTTAAACTTTTTTATAACTAATCCAAGCTTAATTTTTATATCTTTTTTTATACAATCTTTATCTGACATATTTGTAAGCTGAAACAATTTTATATATTCAACTTTTTACTGCCAATTAGTGAAAGTTAATACTTTTTCAATAATGCACAAACAATTTTAAAATTTTTATACTTTGAACTTAATAACTTGGTATCGAAGTACAACTTTTTACTATTATCTTACTCTGTATTTTATACAACTTTTTAACTTTTTACCTCTGAAAATCTTGTAAATAAAACAACTACTCATAAAATATACGACAATGAGCAAATAAAAGTACTATAATATTTCTTGCGGAAATCGTTACCTTGTTGAAATAGGCATACAATTAAAAGTGATGCGTCTGATGTATATTGTACTTCTGCTTCACTGAATAATCAACTTCTTTCCATAAACAAAGAGTGCCGCTTAAATTTTTCCAGTGCACGCTATTGTACCATTTATATTCGGTTTGGTACGATAAAAATCAAAAAGAAAATAAAAATCAACAATGCCTACATTTTGTAAATATCGTCTAAATTTTTATAGACTTGATAATTCAAATAAAATTTAACCAATACCTAGGGTCAAGGCAAAGCATTAGTTTGCAAAAGCTTCACAAAATTTTGATTTTATAAGAACTATTTCAGGGTGCCTAATATGAAATATGAACATGCATTTCTGAAAGTACTTGAAAGCTATCCTGCTCTTATTCGTGAGCGATGAACGTAAAAGACTGAAATATTCTCGATACGAACTGTGTCAGCTAAAAAATATTGCAAACATTTTTTATACTACTTGAAAACAAATTTGAATATTAAATGAGAGGTGAAAAGATTGAAACGAATCGATACATTTTAGAAAGATCTTTTTGGCTTTTTTAAAAGAAGAATGACGATAAATTGAAAGGATACTGAAACATAAGAATTAACAGAATAAAAGTGACTCTTTCGCAATCAACGAAAAGAATCCCCGCGATGTTCATAGCTTATCAACACACTTGTAATTGCGTGGTACGCTAATGTAAATACGAATCTTGAACAAGGCACTATTTTATGTAAGTAATTATTTATAAAAAAAAAATATGAATACATAATATAGTCATTTTACTATTACGAATATATTTGTACAATATATGAATTTATATATTACAATATGACCATCTTTGGACAAAAATTCATTACAACGTGTGTGATAATATTTGTAAACTTGATATCTAATAAAGGATTTTATGTTCTATACACACATAAATCAAATAAGGGTTTTGCTTTATACAATTTAGCCTGAATCTCCATCGGTACTCGGAAAACACGATAGTTTATTTCTTTTGCCAGGCTCTTCTTTAATTATTTGCGCTTTTGCTAGGCGATTCTTCAGCGTATGAAAAACTTCAATTTCGTAATTCAATTTCGACTTTTGCTTTAACAATTTATCCGCTAGCTCCTGTTGACCTTGCTGAAGTAATGCATATTTACGTTTGATCTACAACAAATAAATTATGCATTTAATTTTTTTCCACGACTCGATGCAGCAGTGCTTATCATTCGATATTGTAGATTTTACCTCCACCTCGGCGACTTTCAAACGGTTATTGTACTTTGCAATTTTAGACGTAAGCCGTTGTCCGGCTTCAGTTTTTTTGAAACTCGCGAAGGACCGATCCGAATCGCACGACTCGTCATTTTCTTCTCTTATTCTTTCGATATCCTGCAACAAATTGCGAATCGATCGAGTATAATTCACGCAACGCGATCGACTATAAAAAATTTCGTATCGTTACCTTGACCAAACGTTGGAATCGCTCGTGCTTGAACAACGAGTAATGCCGCGTATGAGTCGTCTCGCACAGATCGTTCATGTTGGTTCGCACGAGCATCTCTCTCAGTTTGACGAAGTCGCAGTGCTGCTCGTTCTCCACTGTAAAAATTAAAAAAAAATATTTTTGTGACTGATCGATCGATCGCGACGTAAAGATCAATTTTGTCCGTTTACTTTGCACGACTCCCCAGGGATACTCTCGTCCGCGCACGCTCCTGTTTCCCACTCTGACGAAATCCTTGCTGGCGACGATGGCGAAGGGTTGATGCATGTTCATGAGCGCGTTGACGCCGGCCACGCTTTCGTCGTCGGTCGGGAACTGATACATCTTCAACTCGTTCGCCTCTATGTCCCTCAATATTCTGTTCTGTAAAAATCGATGCAGTCGATTTCGAATGAATTTTACGATCGATCTAGAAAAAATGGGATAAAGGAAAAGCCAGGCAAATGCTCACTTTGAATTCCTGCAACTCTTTCTTGGCGATGGTGTCGGCTTTGGCTATGATGGGTATAACGTTGCACTTGGTGCCCAATACCTTCATGCAGGCGACGTCTATGCTCTTCAGACTGAATTTTACAAAAAGGATTAAATTCCGAGCGCGACGATCTATTTTTTCGTCGTGCAACTCACCCGTGACCAGTGGGACAGAGGAAGTAGAGGCAGGCGTGCACGCGAGCGTCGTGGTAAGCTCCGACGGCTCTCAAGCGGGAGTCTCCCGACTCTTCCCGGGCGTGAGCCTCGAACTGAGCATCGATGTACTCGACGATCGGCCGGAAATTGTCCTCCCTGTTGACTTGGTCGCCGTATCCGATCGTGCTCACCACGGTCAGCTTCAGCTGGACGTTGCTCTCGCACAGATCGTAGCTGTTGGTCTCGAGCTTCACCGCCGACGAGTGATGCATCCTCGGCCGGTACTCGTAGCCTGTGTTGAACAGGCAGTCCACGAGGGTCGACTTACCGAGGCCGGTTTCGCCTTTCGGACGGGAGGGTCGGACGGATTAGAGAAAATGTATCGGCGAACGACGAGAATGCATTATATAGTCAAACTCACCGACGCAGAGTAAATTGAATACAAATCCATTGCGAGTCACACTCTTCATGAACTGCTCCGGAAGACTGGCCAGACCCACGTGGCCCGGCAACGTCAATTCTCGAATCGGTCTGTCAGCTCGCTGGAGAAAAAAAAATCGTCAACACATTTCGAGCAGTATATATACTCGTACGAACGAACGTTAACGATCGCACACGCGCACACGCTACAGTACCTTTCACGCGATATGTATATATACGATACGCGCGAAAAGTACGAGAAATAGATCTGTGCTCGGGGAGAAAAGCTCTTACCCTCGTGGCCGGTCGAGGCTTGACCGATCCAAAGCTCATCTTCGACACGACGTCGTCGTAATCGGTGGTCGTGTCGATGCTGCTGATGTCGATGGACGTCATCTCGTCGACGAAACTCGAATCCGCGACGAGTCGCGCGCCCGACGCCGACCGTACTGTGTTTACCATTGTGCGGGCCTCGCTGCTAAGCGCGCGTCGTGTCACAAGTGCGGAATGTTTGAGATTGTCAATTACGTTACACGATGTTCTTCTGTGCCCTGCCTGGATCTCTTTTACTCTCCACAGCTGTGCTCGATCCGCGACGTCTCGCGCGCGCGTGTGTGTGAGGATAATTCGAAACGTTTGTTGTTTGTATATAAATTTACGACTGTTCTCGGCGCTGGCAGTTATATATTATTGTCTCTGCAGTCGGTGGCGAAATTTGAATTTCACGATTTTTCAAAAATTGTATCAAAAAAAGATTTAATTTCTGCAAAATACATAATCTTACATTTTTTAACAGCTTGCTTTCCGCCAAAAAAATAATAATATTGTTATGAATTAAAAAAATATATTTTTTAAATTAAGACAAGAGTCTTGTCGACGAAAAAACAACAAAGTATTATTATAATATTATAAATTTATTCGTTTCTGTTAGGTACAAGACGAACCATTTGTGATCGCGTACGTCTACTCACCATGGGCGCATCCTCTGGATACAGTACATTTTGTCTCTCTTTTATTTCCCTTCTCTAAAATACATGAAAATCGATCAACAAAACTTTAAACAATGATAAAATAAAAAGTCTCGTATTACCTGTTCTTCTCAAAGAAGATGTTAACTCCGATCTCAGATAAGTTAAATGTGAAAAATTTTCATCTTCAACTAAAAAATATTATGAATTTATAGCAAAAATAGTTCGTGTAACCGTGTACGTTGTATTGTTTTATGTATTATAGTGAGCCGTGTCGCCGCTAGGTGGCACAAAGTAAAAGTGCGGTTCACACGAATGAGTTTGTCAAATCTGGGCGTTAAATAGACCCAAGAAAAGCTTGCAATTTTGGAAGCCTCGAGTGAGGCGAAAGAGAGGTGAATAAATAAACTGAGTTCTTTAGAAAGGGAACTTCGACTAATTCTTTCACCTCCCTCCCATTAACCCCCCCCCCCCCCCCCC